AAAAAAAAACAGAAAAGGGGACTTTAGTGAGCTTAATGCTTTAATTGTTATATTCTCTTCTCATATCAAACTCATTAAAAATCTGTTTTTAGAGTAAATTGCAGATATATTTCTGTGCTATTGACGCCCTGACTGCAGATTCAGTTTACAGGTCATTAACGACCTGTAGTTAAGCAAATTGCCATCAGGTGGCAGTAGATAACTTGGTTATGGGGTTCAAATGTCTATGCCCAAACTAAGAAGCAGGTTGTGGTTAACTGGGAGCTAGCACTATTTGTACTGTTCAGTGTTACACTATTTTTCTTTCAAAAATTGTTTTAACACTACTAAGATGTATAAATTCAGCAACACTATGAAGCCCTTTGATTATAACTTTAAACTTTGTCTTATAAAATGAATGACTTCTAAGTCTTTTTTTCCTGGGGCCAGGGAGATAGCTCAGTAGAATAAGTGTTTGCCTGGCAAGCGGAAGGGCCTGAGTTCAATCCCTCATTCCACAAAAATCAAAAACAAAAACAAAACACAAACTTTTTTCCTTCAAGAAGCAACTGTTAGCATTTTTTTTGTTGTTTTCTCAAAATTTTTTAAAATTTTATTTTAGTGCAGGGTCTCACTATGTAGATCAGACGCGTAGTGATCCGCCTGTGTTCAGCCTCCCAAGAGCTGGGATTACAGGCACGCACCACCATGCGCAGTCTTATCGTGCCATGGGAGCGGGGCCAGCACAGCGTGGCACGACAGGGATCAAACCCCAGTCGCTGCGTCTGCCTAGGCAGGTGCTTTAATCCGCTGAGCTATTTGGCCAGCCCTAGGTTTTGAGACAGGGCCTTGTAAAGGCTAGTTTCAGACTCTTCCTTTCTCAGCTCCCCCCATGTTGGGACTGCAGGCCTGAGCCACCATGCCTGGTTCAGCAAGTGCACTTAACCCTAATTGTGGTCCTTATTATTTCTGGGAGTCTAGAATTCACTCTTGGTTTTGATCTGCTGGGGCCAATACCTTCTGGGACATTTAGTTTGTTTGACATCAGAATTTCCTTTGCTATTAACAGAGTGACAAGGCAGCTCATGAAATAGAAGAGGACTTTTGCAAATCATGTATTTGGTTAGGAGTTAATAGCTAGAATGTTACTTCTCAGCAAAAGTTGTATGACTCTAGAACATAAAAACAACCTTATTAAAACATGGGCAAAGGATTTAGGTAGCTGTTTCTCCAAAGAAAATATACAGTTGACCAAGAAGCACATGAAAACGTGCTTAGCGTCACTAATCTTAAGGAAATGTAAATTAAAGCTACAAAGAGATACCACCTTATACCCCTAGCATGGACACTATTTAAGAAGCACAACAGAATAACAAATGTCGATTAGCATGCGGAGAAATGAAAACCTTTGTACACTGGTGGGAATGCTCACGGTATAGGATCTGAGGAAGACCATGTTGCAGCCTTTTTCATTTTTTAAAGATTACTTAAATTTAAAGGTATATTTTAGATATGCATAATGATCACATTCATCATAGAGAATTTGTATCTGTATGTGATGTAACTTAATTGAAAAAACATTTTTTTTAAAATTTAAGTTTAGTATTTGGTACAGGGTCTCAGTCTAGCTCAAAGGTGGGGCTGGCACAGCATGCAGCGCCGAGGATTAGAACCTAGTCCTTGTGCTTGCCAGGCTGGCACTTAGTCTGCTGAGCTATTTCTGTGGCCCCCACTGGTTCTTTTTCCCCCCCATTCTCCTAGCTTCCCTTCTGCGCCTCTTCTGCTCCTTACTTACAAAAGCTTTGTTTCCATTTTTCCTTCTTTTCCCTTCCTTCCTTTCCCCCTCCCCCTCCCTAGTTCCCCTTCCCATTTGAACGTTTTCTTCCCACTTCCCAATATATATTATACATTTTAATCCTTTCAGTTTCTCACACCAGAGAAACAATGAGGTATTTACACACGTGTGCAATTTATTTCACTTAAGAAATAGCCTTAAGGTGCATCATTTACCTAGAAAGGCTCAAGCTTCTCCTTTAGGTAGAGCTGTACTCCAATGTTTGCAAAGCCCACGTCTCCCGTAGCCATTGCCAGCTAATGGGCATCGGGGCTGCTTTCAGGAGTTAGCCACTGCGGACTCCCGCTAGAAGCATGGGAGCGCATAGATCACTGTTGTACGGTCTTTTTAACTCTTTCAGGAAGTTACTAAGAAGGGAAATAGCTTGGTTGAATGTAACCTCTAGTTTTAGTTTTCTGAGGAATCGCCACACTGATTTCCACAGAGGTTGATTGCCTCAATCTGCACTCCCACCAGCAGTGGAAAAGAGTTCTTTTTTCCTCACAGCCCCAACCAGCATTTGTGATTGATGAATTTCTTGATAATAGCCATTTTTCTGAAGTGAGATGGAATCTCAGTGTTGTTTTAATTTGTATCTCTAGAATGGCCTGTTGTATTGAACATTTTATTTTATTTTTTTCATTTTATTTTATATTTTTTAATTTTTTTGCAGAACCAGGGATTGAACTCAGGCCCTTGTGCTTGCCAGAGAAGTGCTTATTCCACTGAGCCATCTCCCTGGCCCCTATATATTGAACATTTTAAAAAATATTTGCCATTTCTATTTCTTTAGAAATGTATATTCATTTCAGCACCCATTTTTGGGTTGGGTCTTTAAATTTGAAGGCTCTGGGGCCAGGGAGATGGCTCAGTGGAATTAGCGCTTCCCTGGCAAGGGCCTGAGTTCAATCCCCAGTTCTGCCCCCCCCAAAATAAATAAATAAATAAATTTGAAGGATCTGATTTTTTGGGGGTGGGCTGTGCAGAGTCTTACCATGCAGTTCAGGCTGGCTTTAAGCTCACTTTGTAGCCCAGGCTGGCCTCAAACTTGGAACAATTTTCCTGTCCGAACCTCATGAATGCTGGGACTACAGATGTGCACCGCCAAACCTGGCTGGGGTCTGATTGTTTTGAATTTTTTTTTTTTTTTTTTTTTTTGGTACCGGTTATTGAACTCAGGACCCTGCGCTTACCAGGAAGGCATTTATTCTACTGAGCTACCTCCTCAGGCCCCTAATTTTCAGGTTTGCAATGGCTTTTTTTTTTTTTTTTTTTTTTTTTTTTGGTACCGGTTATTGAACTCAGGACCTTGCGCTTACCAGGAAGGCATTTATTCTACTGAGCTACCTCC